TTTTCATTTTCAAATATAATGCCTTGACTTAAAGCATGCCCCATCACACACATTGGATCTCCAGGGTTCACCCGTTCCTCCTGGCCCAATGCCATAGTGTGGGGAAGCCAAGCTCCAGTGAGGAAGTCTGTTGGGGCTGGTTTTGCAGAAGGCATGGAACTGTGCTACAGTGAGGCCTTTGGGAAGCTGGCAGCTCTCAATCTGTTTAGAGAGGGTGTTTCTGTCTCATGGCTCTGTTGGCCTGCCCTCTCTGGCAGCCACACCTGTTTTGCCCTATACCCAGCCAGACATCTTTCCCAGAGTGACAGCAGCAACTGGGGACATCTACAGAAGCTCTCTCCCAGGCCTGACAAAGGCACTCAGAACCTGGCCCAGGCCTGCAGGGGGAGGGTGGCTGGGGAAGGGGCAAGTGGGAAGGCCAGGGACACTGACAGCTGTGGGCCGGTGTGGCAGGCGGGGCTCTGCCTCAAAAACAGGTGAAGTCAGTGGTTGCTGACGAAGAGGAGAGTCCCCTGGGTTTTTCAAGGGTAAAAGAGAAGTCTGTGCAGAGACTTTCCAGCACATGGTGGCTTAACTCAATGATTGGAGTGGTTGTGAGCTCCCTGCTTCTTCAGACAGGACCTCCCAAAAGGGGTGAGGAGAAGACACAGCTGTGAAAGGGGTGTCCCTATTCAGACTGAAACATCTCCCCTCCACCCTGTGGGAAAATGTGGTCGAAAGGACACAAAAAACAGGGGCTGGGAGAAGCACTGGAGGGACACCCCAGATGAGATACTGAGTTGATGTTGGAAAAAGTCTCTCTGGGCAGAGGATGTCACCCTGAGGCCAATAGGGTTTTTTTTCACAGAAAAAAAAGAAAATCTTGCCTGGAACTAATTTTTTTAAACGGATAAGCTAGTTTGGGGAGGAGAGAGAGGATAAAATAGCAAAAATAATAGCAATTGTATTGTTAGCATGTCAGAGTTATTATAGAGCTGCTTTTTGTCCTTTTCAACCTCCTAAGCCCCTAGAGGGTGGTCATTCTTTTGTTGCTCATGCAGCAAACATGGTGCATTTGTTATGGGCCAAAAAAGTGAGGCTGAGAAGTTAGTAACAATTTTCCTGAGGTCATATAGTGGATTTGTTATAGTTAGGCAGGACTCAAACTCAGTTCTGGTTCTCTTTTCTCTCCATACCCTTTTCATTCTTCTGTTGTAACTGTAGGTAATGAAGTCCTAGAGGTAATGCAGGGACAAGAGGAGCCTGGCATTATGGACTTGTGATGCCTGTAACAGTATTTGTACTCCCAAATTCCCCACACTTTAGTAAAAGTTGGTTGTTCACTTAAACACAATGGTGTGCTGGTCACATTGATAGAGAAGGAACAGTGGAAAAAGGATAGGAATGTGGGCTTGGGGCCTGGGAAAAGGAAACTTCTCTTTTAAATAGTGATGATGGCTTCAGGACTTTTTAGAGACAGGGTCTTACTGTGTTGCTGAGGCTGGTCTTTTTTTTTTTTTTTTTTTTTTGACAGGGGCCTCAAGCTGTCCCCCTGGGTAGAGTGCCGTGGCATCTCAGCTCACAGCAACCTCCAACTCCTGGGCTCAAGCGAGTCTCCTGCCTCCGCCTCCCAAGTAGCTGGGACCACAGGCGCCCACCACAACGCCCGGCTATTTTTTGGTTGCAGCCATCATTGTTTTTTGGCGGGCCTGGGCTGGATTCGAACCCGCCACCTTGGGTGTACATGGCTGGCGCCTTAGCCACTTGAGCCACAGGCGCCGAGCCTGAGGCTGGTCTTTGGTGGAGGCAGGTGAGTGAGTGGTGAGAACCTGGTTTCCTTGGAAGCTTTTTTCTCCCTTCCTAACAGCTTTATTGAGATATAATTCACATACCATAGAATTCACTCTTGCAAGATTTTAATGGTCTGGACACTGGTGATGACCACAGAGGGCAGTGATGGAACACTCTGAGTGGAGTCCAGAGGGCTGATGCGGTCCCAGAAAGCCTCCCCAACACCATACTCTACCCTGTTGGGACCCAGAGTTTGGAATCCTGTCTAGGATGCTTTACTTTCTGGAGTGTTTCTTTCTCATCACTCTCCCTGGGAACTGGAGCTTTGTACTCCTCTATCCTGCAGTTTGTAAAGAAGGTCAAGGGTGGAGAAAACCCCACTGTGTTGGTAAAGTCTCTAGTCTCCCCTCCACCTTGAAAGGTCACCCTTCTAGAAGCTTTTAGGGGAGGCTGGGGCTTCTAAAACCAAAACTTTCACTTCACATGTCAGTGATTCTGCATTGTCATATCTGCAGCAAAAATGACCTCCAGGGCTTTCCCAGAAGGGCTATAGCTTTCTTTACCCAGCCTCATCTGCCCACCTTTGGGAGGTAGACTTCTTCTCTGAGCAGGGAGGCTGTTTGGTGCAGTTTTGAGCTCTCCTCCCCTGCACACATGTACCCCTTTCCTCTCTGTCCTCCTTTCTGAGTTGGCCTGAATTTGAATTATATTTGTGGTAAAGGGCTGTGTTGCTCCAAGATGAGCAGGGCTCCTGCAGGGCTCCTGACTTCTCAGTTTCAGTTGCATCCTGCCACCTGCCTCCACTCCTGCTGCTTTCTGTGCCAGCCCTGCAGCCTGGTGTAAGACAGAGAGAAAGTCCCTGATGGGACAAGGTTGAGGAGTGCCCTTTGGAGTGGCTCCCGTTTGTTCCCTGGAGGCTGGGCCCTGGCTCCTTGGTAGCAGGCTCTTCTAGGAATGTGTTCCCCAGCTGGGTTTTCTGGTTGGGTGGGAACATCTCTGGGCTGGTCTGTACAACCATAGCTCTCAGGGGCTTGCCTTGGGCTGGGGGTTGGGGGCGGGGAGGAGGTCAGGATGGCTACAGGTGTGCAGAGGAACCTGGCAGGATGTGTCCTGGAGTGGACACTGGAGACCAACTGGCTTTGCTTTTGTTTCTCTTATTTGGATGAGTTGTCAGTGAAAGGGAAGAAATCAGACAAATGAAAAAAAAAAAAAGAAAAGGCTTTCCACTGAGCCCCTGCCTGGAGTCCTGAGACCTCTACTTAGGGGTCTGCATCCCTGAGCACCCCAGTCCCTCAATTGCCCACTGCCCTCCTCTGTGGGAGCAGAGATGGGACAGATGATTGGCTTGCCAACCTTGTGCATGTCACTTAACTTTTCTGAACCTCAGTGTTCTCATCCATAGGGAGAGAGGGATAAAACTCCCTCATGTGCAGGGTTGTTAAGTAGGAACAGTACTGCTTAGTGGGTGCTAAATCCCAAGCCTGGGCCTTTCTTTGCAGAAAGTAGTTTCCCTGACTCCCCCATTCACTTTTGTGTGTGTGTGTGTGTGTGTCAAAGCAGTCTCACTTTGTCACCTGGGCTAGAGTGCAGTGATGTTATCATAGCTCACTGCGATCTCAAACTCCTGGGCTCAAGAGATCCTCCTGCTTGAGCCTCCCTAGTAGCTGGCACTAGAGGCACCTGCCACAAGGCTGGCTAATTTTTAAATTTATTTTTAGAGACAGGGTCTTACTATGTTGCTGAGGCTGGTCTTGAATTCCTGGCCTCAAACAATCCTCCCGCCTTGGCCTCCCAGGGTGCTGGGGTTACAGGTGTGAGCTACCATGCCCAGCCTTCCCCATTCACTTTTTTACAATCACAGAATCATGGATCTTAAACTAGAAGGAATTTCAAGAGGTTATCTGGTCTAGTCCTCTGGCATAATTATCTATATTTTGTAGATAAGACTGTTTTAAGTGCTCATTACTTTGACATGTCTGTCATAACATGGCTCAGATAAATCCTTTTCCTCTTGGTGGGGTGTGACCTCCAGATGCACACAGGTCCTCTGGCCAGCAGAGATGTGGAAGAGGATGGGAAAGCCTTGCTCCTTGGGACCAAGTGTAGGTTTTGCATGGTTTCTAGGCAGGTTTAAGTGTTGCCTGTGTCATCTACTCCTCACCCTGCCCCTGCAACCTCAGTGGATATGTGAGAAACATACTCTGGCACCCCACTCTTCTCCCTGAGAAAGTGAGGGATGCACCTGGTTCTCAGGACTGGCCATAGGGGGAAAGTGACTGCCAGGACACAGTGTATTTCTCAGTGGTTTTTCTTTCAAAGGAAACTCTCCTTCTGACCCATCTCTGAAAAATAACAAAACACACCAGAAAACATAGAAGAACTCCTACCCTGGATTTCCCCCTGGCCAGGAGCCTCACTGAATGTGGAGGCCAGCAAGAACCTCTGAGCTGCAAAATTGTTTCCCATCCTCCCACCAGTCAGGCAAGAAGGCATCAGGGTTTGGACTAGAGAATTGATCAGGGGTAAATGTGGGCATGGAATGAAAAGCTGTCCATCTCTGGCGTGAGTTGCTAGGATCAGGGGTAAATGTGGGCATGGAATGAAAAGCTATCCATCTCTGGCATGAGTAGCTAGGATTAAACTCCAAAATCACCTAAGCGCCGCCACAACGCCCGCTATATTTTTTTGTTGTTGTTGTTGTTGTTGTTGCAGTTTGGCCGGGCCAGGTTCGAACCTGCCACCCTCGGTATATGGGGCTGGCCCCCTACTCACTGAGCCACAGGCGCCGCCCGTTTCTCAATAACCTTTTACACGAACTAGGATGCTAGTGAGCCAGAAAGTGAAACTCCGGGAGGCTGTTAAAGTGTCTTGGAGAGGATTGTGCATGATTTACCGTATCCAAAACCGAAGTTTTCTTTGTGGAAGAAAGCGACTTGTGCCCTCCCCAACATCACACACACACTTTCCTGGCAGGCTCGATGGGTTTCCAAACATTTCGTCACCGTCTCCTCCTGACCTTGGTGTGAAAGGAACCAGCCGCGTGGCCGATTGGTTCCAGCAAAGCCATCGAGGGCGCCGGCCTGGGCTGGGGGAGGGTGGTGACCGACTCCAGAGTGGAGGTGAGGTCTGCTGGAAATCCCCAGTCCTAGCAGCCGCCTGAGCTTTAAAGACGCCTTCCCTAGCCTTATTTGGTCTCAGGAAGTGGGCGGTGCTGGGCCTGCAGGCTGAGAGGCGGCCCTGAGACAGTTGTGCTGATGAAGTGGTAGAGCTGGTTTCTGCTCGCCGCGGTGCTGCGCGCGCCGGCCGGCCACTGGACTCTCCGCGCTCCCATCCTCGAGTTGTGCAATCCTTTGTAGCACGCCAGCGAGTCCTCCTCCTTCGCTGTTGCCTCTCGCCCTCTCTCTCTTTTTTTTCAAGCTGTGAGCTCAACCGATGAGTCAGAGCCGTGCAATCCTGACACTGCATCGCAGGACTGGGGGTGACACGGAGGGAGGGAGAGCGCTCGCGAGGCGGACAGCACGGGCGCGGGGCGCGCCGAGGCTCCTGCGCTGCGAGCAGGGGGTGACAACCTGCGCGTCCCGCCCGGGCCCCGCCAGCAAACTTCCCAACCACTGGAGGCGCGGGCTGGCGGAAGCCCCGCAAGCGCCGCAGGGAGGCTACGGCGCCTGTTTGTTTTTAAAATACGAGAGTGCGTGCAAGCGGCTGGAGTGTTGCAGGCGACCGAAGGCGGCGGCCAGCGGCGGAAGGGGGACAGCCGAGGCCGGAGCTCGGGCAGCAGCGGGGTAAGTGGGGCTGCCGAGCCGGAGGACGAGGCCTGCACACGGCGGGGGCGACGCGGGGACCGGGGGTGGCGCGCAATTGG